AGGGTTGCCTTTTGGGCATATCACCTCCAGCATTTGCTGTTAATAGATTTCTTGATTATAGCCGAAATGCAGATTTTAAGGGTAAAGTTCAGTGAGGTTTTTTTTTTCAATTGTGAAAATACCATACAGAGGGGTTACAATTACATGGGCAAGGTAATGAGTACATTTCTTATCAAGCATTGTTGCCTCCTCCTTTGTTTCCTCTCTGACAGTCAGTTTAAATGGCACAACAATATATACTATGGGAGTGGTAGATTGTTCCAGATATAGGGGTAACTTGCATTGTGAATTGTGTGTGTGTATGTGTGTGTGTGTGCACATGTGCACATACATGTGTGTTTAATGCTGAAGACTGAACTCGTGTCTCCTCATATGCCAAACACAATCTTACCATTGGGCTACAATTCCAGCTCTAGTATCACTTTGTTTGGAAGTTGATAGCTCTGGTAACTATGTTTGAATATACCCACTGTGGCCAGTCTGTAGGATCATTACAACAGCCTCAGTTCCTCTTCAGGCATCTTCTCCTGGACATTCTAGTTGTATTTTTTAGTCTCTTCTCTGCGAGCATTGCTCTGACTGTTTTAAAATAACCAGCCTCTATTTCCTGAGTACCTGCTGTTTGCCGAGTGCTGCAGGCAGGGAGAGGAAGAAGATAGAGGACAAAAGATAGGAGGCATTGCGTTTTTGTTTCCAATTTTTATTGCTACAAAGAGCATGGCCCAAGCTGTTCATGTATATGGATATTTGGTTATATCCTTTGGGCGAAACCTTAGTTCTAGATGTGTTGGCAAATGTTTTCCATCCATATTTGTCAAATTCTTCTTCTTTCAAAGAGCTATTCTACTTAATGCTCATGGACGTTCACTGGGAACCATTCTCTGTACATTCAGCAAACCTATGCATTTTCTTCTTCTTATTACACTTGTTCATTTGAATTGCTTTGAATGGCTGACCATGGTGTAGGCATTCAGAGAGAAGAAAGAAGATGATGGGAAATATCTATTCATAGAGGATCAGTGATTTTTTTCTTCTTCTGTTAGTCTTAGTAAATGCACACTGTTTGGGTGATGAGCTTAAACAGCTACACCTCTGGGTTCTGGGTCTCCCCTACTGCATTCACAATTTCCCATCATCTACTCTTCTCTCTCCTAGTGAGCAAACTCTCTTCTGTGCCTGGAATCAGCAGCATGCATGAAGTGCACATCTGGGAACTTGTAAGTGGGAAGATCATTGCCACCCTGCACATCAAGTACCAGCAGGACACAGGTTATCAGGATGCCAGCACAAAAATTCGAGAAATCTTTCACAATGCAGGAATCCACAACCTGACCATTCAGTTTGAAAAGGTGGACTTGAAGGAGCCCCTGGAGCAGAAAGACTTACTGTTTCAATGCAGCAGCCCCTGCATCTCCAACGGCTGTGCTAAAAGGCTGTGCTGTCCTCCTGGAGCACTACCCCTGGCTCATGTCAATGGCTGTGCTGAGCACAATGGTGGCCCTCCTCCAGAGATATATCGAAGTAGAAGAGAAGCCACTGAAGTAGCCATTGACGTGCCTTTGGATGGCTGTCTGCATGACCACGGACAAACTATTAACAAAACTTGGGAGGAACAACATTCTGAAAACAGTACACATTTTTGATCTGGTACTCCCCTAAGATCGGACTCTATATAGTGTAGGTGCATTGGCACCACCAGCTTGGCTTGTGGAAACAGCTTTGTGGGTTGTGGGCTCGAACCAACCTTGCACTCTCTGTGTTCAGTAAGGGTTGGATAATTAGGATTTAGTGGAACATATCTGTTGGTTTTCATGTGGCTGCTAACCCCTTTTCATTCCTCTGGGTATCTCTTGCTGCTCTTCAACAGTTTTGTGATTTCTAAAGCAAAGTACACTAGCACATAGACCAGGGATACTGAAGGGGGAACTCTTAACTCTGGACACTGGTTTTAAAATAATTCTTCCTTTTATTATTATTATTTTTTGTGGTGCTGGAGATTGAACCCAAGGTTTTGTAAATGTGAAACAAGGGCTGTACCACTGAGCTGCACTCTCAGGAGCTTTTAGCTGACTCTTGGGTGAGAGGCATAGCTCACTGCTGAAGTATCATAATAGCTGTGTTTTTTCCCATCCCCTTCAAAGTCCATGGAAGAGGGAAGTGAGGTTTTTTGTGGCACTTCAAGAGTATCTTTTCTTCCATTCATTGTTGGAGAAATGTAAAACAAGTACTTATTCAGGTTGGAAAATGTTCTCAGAACATTAGAAGAGGTAGAGTTTAATGGGGGTTGGAAGAAAAGATATTTTCTGTCTTCTTGGTTTTGTGAGATGAGAGAAAACAAAATTTTATTCTCTGCTTGGAAGTGAACTACAGCTATAGCATTTTATTTAAATATGTAATATATTCTCTTTGCTTGGACATATAGAGATTCTTCTGCTTCCTTAAGTATGACACAAATATGTATTTATGGTCTTTGAGAGTCTTCCAGTTGTGTTCATGACATTCATGGCTTTGGTGATAATTTACTTATCTGTCCAAATTTCCTTAGAGTTCCTTTTACATGATCACGTTAATCAGGGTAGTGTTTGTCAGGGACAAGCATTCCTGGGCTAGAAGAGTGTATGCCATTGAGTGCTCATTTTTGCTAAATGAATTATCTAGACTGCCTCTTCTTTAATTAGACATACTTTAAAGTATTTATTATGGTTTTCAATTACCAAGTTGATTGGAAAAAATTGATGTCCAAATGAGAAATGAAAATTAATTCAGCTGCTGTTTTCAATGTATTTTGTGGAGCTTAGAATTTTCTTTTAGGTCTCTGACCCATATTACCAAGTTCAAATAAATTTATTGTAATTTGATTCAGACACATAATCCAATTGTATCATTAGTAGAGAAGCATTTATCATGTACTTAGCACATTGTTTATGCCTCAATATTTAAACAGGTCTCATCGAGATGAGAAAATTGGGAAAGGAAGAATACCTTACTTAAAAAACTAGAATCTTCTGTGATAGGTTGCAGAATTAAAAATGATGGTCTCTTATGCTTTGTAAGCTTTCAGCCCTATTTAGAATCTGCCTAAAATTCATCAGAAATGCTGAGATAATAGCAGAAACAATGCCTCCTTCACATTTTTAGCACAAAATCATTTCAGAAGTTTTGTCTTTGCTGGGCCTGGTGGTTCATGCCTGTAGTCCCAGCTACTTAGGATTTTTAGGCAAGAAGATTACTTGAATCTAGGAGTTCAAGGCTAGCCTAGGCAGCAAAAGGAGACTCTGTCTCAAACAAAACAGAATAAAACAAAGCAAATGGTCTTAGTTCTAAATGGAGGCCTGATGAGTATGCTGCTCTGATCTATAGTAGAGTTTCTTGAATGTTTATTCTCTGTGTTTAAGTTGGCCTTGGATAGGTAAATAGAAAAATTTCTAGAACTGTTTGCTTTTTTAGATGTCTGCTGGGTTATATATTAAGCAATATATAAGCTAAAAAGGGAGCAAAAGACAACATTTCTGATTTTTAGAAATACAAACTGGAGATTCTTTAAGAAATATCCTTAGGTGATGTATGAACCAAACTCTCTCCTTTATAAAATTGTTTGAGATGCTGGAGCCAGAGGCAAATAAGAAAATTCTCACTTTCCTCCAAAGATGAATTCACATCATTCTGCCTTTATTAAAAGGGAAATGTTGTAATTTCACCTTTCTTTTTCTTTGCTACTGGACCATGGAATCACTTTTAGTTTACATCAAAATAATATTTTTCATCTCTAAATTACCTTTTTTTTGGAAATAAAAGGCATTTAATTCCAACATAATTAAATCTAACCTCAGAAAATGATCTTGATCGACACATACCAAGTTGTGCATGAGGGTTTAATGTGAAAAAACTTTTTAAGGACAGTTTTGCGGAGTACTCTCTCTCTCTCTCTCTCTCTCTCAGTCTGTGTGTGTGTGTGTGTGTATGTGTGTGTGTGTGTGTGTGTGTGTGTGTGTGTGTGTAAGGGAGAGAGGAGAGAGAGACAGATAGGCAGACAGACAGACAGACAGAAAGACACTAGATATTAAACCCAGGGCATGGGGAAAACTCTCTGTCCTTAGTCTTTTTATTTTTATTTTGTTTTTCAGGTAGGGTCTCCCTAACTTGACCAGGGCTAGCCTCAAACTCTCCATTTTTTCCTTGCTACCTTTGACTCACAAGTAGCTGGGATTACAGGTATGAGCTACCACATGAGGTTCTGAGTATACTTAATTCAGTTCAAACAAGTGGGGTAAGTGCAATATTTCTGTATAAGCTTGGCTGAGTTTTATTTTTCACCCCTATCACGGTGATGCCAGCTGTATAGTATTTTCATTTGGGTTTTACCCTCCCCTTAGTTTTTCTGTCCTTTAATTCTGTTAAGGAAATACAAAAGCTTCCCCCACTCCTCTTCCTAATCAGCTCTGCTTGGTGGCAATAGCATCTGATGAACAATTTAAAACAACAGATTTTCTTTGAGATTAGAGAAAACATTGGCCCTCAGTTTAGATTTGCTCCAGAAAATTTCCTACTTTGTGTGTGTGTGTGTGTGTGTGTGTGTGTGTGTGTGTGTGTGCCAGTCCTAGGGATTGAACTCAGGGCCCTGAGCCTCTTTGTGCTCAAGGTTAGTGCTCTACCACTTGAGCCATAGTGCCACTTCAAGCCTTTTCTGAGTAGTTTATTGGGGATAAGAGTCTTAGGGACTTTTCTGTCTGGGCTGGCTTTGAATGGCGATCCTCAGATCTCAGCCTCCTGAGATTACAAGCGTGGGATTACAGGCATGAGCCATTGGCACCTGGCTAATTTCCTACTTTTGAAAAAAGCATTGTTCCCCATCACCCACCTCTACCCTGAGATCTTTCCCTAGGGCCTCATGTATGCCTGGGACAAGCTATACCACTGAGCTGCAGCACAGCCCTGCATTTGTATCCATAGTAAAGCATGTGGTATCAGTCAGGACCATTTGTCTTGCAAACTAGCCTGGTCATCGGCCCTTCTAGAACTTTCTGCTATTCTCTGGCTCTTCAAATCCATTTCTTATCATTTCAGCACTATAGGAACTACCTAAGTCTATTCCATTTTTCAACTTCCAGCTTTGTATACAAAGACAGAGAATAATTTCCCCCTGGCCTTTGGTCATTATAAATACCACAGGGCTTCCGCTTTCTATTGTTCATGGAAAGATCGTCCCTCTAAGTTTTTGATTAAAATACCAATAACAGGAAGACATTAGGTGAGGAAGAATGTTATATAGTTCATTCTGTTATTTACTTTTGTTTTGGCCCACTGAGCAAACTCCAGTGGTGCTGTATTAGGAACTCCCAAGTTCAATAGGAATGTTTCAACGTCAAGCAACTGGCTGGGGCAGGTATGGGGTTATGATATGGAAACTGCCCGGAGCATGTTTGCTATGTTTGAGGAAGGGTTGGTCAATAATGGCACTTTGAACCAGACGCAGACATTGTCCTCAGTATTATGGGATGTTTAGCAGCATCCCCAGCTTCTCTCTATTTACAATTGCCAGTGTCACATCCCCAAGTTCAGGTACTGCCCCAGGTGCCCTGGGAAGAAGTTTTGTCCCTAGTTCTGAGTCTCTAGCTAAACCCACAAGTAATTTAGAGATAATAAGATTCACTTTTTAGAAACTAACATTTGGGGGGCTGGGAATGTGGCCTAGTGGTAGAGTGCTTGCCTAGCATGCATGAAGCCTGGGTTTGATTCCTCAGTACTACATATACAGAAGAAGCTGTGGCTCAAGTGGTAGAGCGCTAGCCTTGAGCAAAAGAAGCTCAGGGATAGTGCCCAGGCCCTGAGTTCAAGCCCCAGGACTGGCAAAAAAGGAAAAGAAAACAACATTTTTATCTTTATTCATTTGGTATTGTGGTTAGGATTTGGCCTTGCACATGCTAAGCACATGTTCTACTGATCTACATCCAGCTAGATGACATCAAGCTTGTCATGAAAATCTACCTTTGTTTCTACCTAGGAATTTTGGATATTTAAAGAAAAGAAAGCTATGATTTGTACAAAAGCCTTTACAAATCTTAGTCTGGTGAATGAAATGAAGGAAACTGTATTTTCTCATATTCTTCTGTGATGAATTCAAATCTCAAGCATCCTCTACTTGGCACGACGGATAGTTAGAGTAAGATGTTTAATTCTCCTTCATATTTAAAATTACCCATTATTGGGTAGTACACCCTTGGAATCCCAGTACTCAAGAAACTAAGGCAGAGAGATCATGAGTTTGAGGCCAGCCTGGGCTACAGAACTGAGGCCCCTGTGTCAAAAAGCAAAAACAAAACAATTAACTGATTTAAAAATTGATGATGAATATTACTATTAGGTTCTGGTTCAGCAGCTCATCTTAGACATTATGATAAGTTTTGACATTAAAATACTCTGTAATTTATTTAATCCATTGTCAAATCCTATTTTCTTTGAAGGGGCAAATTGTGTTTAATGACATTAGATTATTTTTATATTCTCATAAAGACTGCATACCATATTAGGAAAAGCCAGGGCAATTTCCTGATTTGGCTTTCAAATTTACATTAATGATTGCCAACAGAATACCTGTGCTATAGCTCTCCCTTTTTGCCTGATCTATTGTTGCCTTTTTGTGTTT